AGGACATTTTTATAATAAACTCTAAACTAAGAGTACAAAACATTTGATGAGGCTAGTAGACAAGGTAAAAGGGAGCGCTAGCAATGGAGAAGGCAAGGGGCAAGACTTTACACCTAGACCCCGGCGCAAACAATGGCTGACAATAAAATCCTCCTGTACCTGTGAAAACATGTCCAGCTATCTCCTAACAGCCGTTTCACTGTAATCTGCTCACTCTCCTTCTTCTAGAATTCGGTCCAAGACACTTCCTTCCACTTGGAACGCTTTACCGTGCAGGCGGACACAGACAGCGGTGTCTCTCTACAGCAGGGACAACACCACAAGCTACACAGCCTACAATAATACAGGGACTCAACGATATTCAAAGCTCCACTCAGTGACTGATATTTTTAACTGCAAAGTGGGTGCAACAATTAGCCCAATTATTATGCACGTACTTTTCAATGCAGGACCTAATGTCATAATGACGCGTATAAATTCTAGCCATGTCCCTCAAACCACAAAGAACGCCTCTAACAAGCCTTATGTAATCTGCCTGTTCAAACCATTATGACAAACAGTTGTTCTAGGGTTGGACGTTGTGGCAATAGTGGTGGGCTGACTAAGGAAATTAGGTTGTGCTGAGAGTAATAAATCCTTATGAATGCCATTGATATCTGGATAGGACAATCAATGCTTGTGTACACTATCAGATATCTCTAATAATTTTCTCATACCAGTCACCTGCAGTCAGGTGACTCTTAACCGTTATCCGTGCTCTATTAATCCGGCATCCTAACCACGCCCACCAAAGAAATATTAAAATTAAGCAAGGGAAGGTAAAATTTTTCAATGTGCAAATAACTCATTAATTTTCTTGCATAGATATTCAATCTGGAGACATGTCAAGTGTCAGACAATGCAAAAGATTAGCAAAGGCACTTTCTAGTCAAGCCCTACACAGGCCACCATATGCAGCTATAGGCCCTCATCAATCCAATGTACTTGTACTACCGCAATGTAGGAAAGCCTCCTCTTCCAGTGGTACTGTTAGGAGTTGGATATTGAAGAGAGTCTATGGGGTCATTATTATAGTGGGCGTCACAGGAGGAGGACTACTAGTGGTACGTTTTATAATCATGTGAGTACATGTGTTGTGTATGTTGGGGGGGGGGTTGTAATTTTCATTGGGGGGGGGCCGGGGCTATAGGACATACATATAAAGTATAAATGCATGAAATATATAAAAGGACATTTGTGATGTTTTATTGCAAGTAGAATTATGTACATGTACATGTACATGTACATGGATACTTGGCTAATGGCAGGTTGTATACTCCCCATAAGTTGTATCAATTCCCCCATTGATATTCCAGTGTACATAGTGTATTATACTTAAAACCTTTTAATTGTTCATAGTTTATAAACGAGCTCATATTTAATGTGTCTAGCCTTGAACATACAGTGTACAGAGGGTATGTGTACTACTGGTCTTGTGTTATTCATAATCCTTCTATTTAAAAGTAACAATATTCATTGAATGGATATCAATGGATGTAGCAAATATTTATGTTTTGTAACAAAAATATCAAAACATTGACTGTGACATTTTACGGGAGAGTAAAGACGCTTCTAATTACACTACATGTACATGTACATGTACACATACAGTATAACCTGCTATTGTGGACACTCTAAAATAAGGAGGCCTCTATAATGAGGACAGGTAGTATCAGTCCCAATACAATAGTAATGTGTATTAATGAACCTCTGAAATAAGGACAGGTTCATAATCAGGAGGGTATTATTGGGTACCAAGGTGTCCGGAATAGACAGTCCTGACTGTACATGTACATGTACATGTACATAACCTCTAATATGTACAGTAACTCAATTGCTTGAATTGTTTATTCATTCCATTGATTTATTATCTTTATATTGAAATCACACCTCCTTTGAAGTATTATTACTTAAGGTGTAAATTGCATTTTATTTGAAGCATTCACTAATTGTTAATTATATAATTAGCTCATTTATTGTCTAAGATTCATCCGCAAGTCAAACCTGTCTATTCCAGACACCTTGGTACCCAATAATACCCTCCTGATTATGAACCTGTCCTTATTTCAGAGGTTCATTAATACACATTACTATTGTATTGGGACTGATACTACCTGTCCTCATTATAGAGGCCTCCTTATTTTAGAGTGTCCACAATAGGAGGTACTGTAGTGTGACATATATGCCTTTCCTTTTCATTCTCACCAGATTGTATTCTTTTGTTAATATGATGTAAGGATTGTAATTTTACATTTTAAAGCCTTTATAAGTATCATTGTAACACCTACATGGACCCTAGTAAAATTGCTACTGAACTAACTTCTACTTTTAAGTGACTAAAGTGATTATAAAAGAGAAATTTTTAGTCTTAGCATTGCATTATTATAGCAATGTAGCATATTTTAAATACTGCTCTTCATGTACTTGTTCATTCATTGACATACCAATGCTATGATACCATTCAAAGTAGCTGTATTATGATGACGCCATTTAAATCAGTTCTGTTTACAGTCAGGCCTGTCTAATCCGGACACCTTGGTACCCAATAATACCCTCCTGATTATGAACCTGTCCTTATTTCAGAGGTTCATTAATACACATTACTATTGTATTGGGACTGATACTACCTGTCCTCATTATAGAGGCCTCCTTATTTTAGAGTGACCACAATAGCAGGTTATACTGTATTGTGTCCAAGCATTCATCATACAATGTACAGTTACACACATGTACACTGTATTTGTTTGTTGCGTAATCTTTAATGATAATCATTGACTGGGTGTTGGTGGCAAACACAAATACCGTATGTGTGGAATTTACTAATTACATGCTCATTTATTTTTCAACAGTTCAAATATTGGCTTGACAGACAAGTTGACAACAAGCTCTCCTGGATCAAGAGCTACTATCCTTCTGGTGTCTCTGAAAAAATATCTGATGGTAAGTAAACCTGGCCCTAACCTATGTACATGTACATTGAACATGTACAATATAGTTAAAAAAAAGAGAGCATTTTTGCTATACGTGTAGTATATTGAATAAAGGGCATTAGCCTGTGGTGTAGGATTACATTAATTTTGTCACTTTTTGTGTAGCAATGCTGCACCTTACGCTTTGTCATTACATTCCCCTTGTGATTACATTGATCCTCATATCACCACACTCACCTCAGCTCCTCAGCAGTGGTTTATACACTGTTATATAATCACATGTATGTACACACACACACACACAAATATGCATCCACACACAATGTTATTACAATCATCTTTCCATTCAATATACATGTATGTATTACACGTACATTTACTAATAGTGATTATATAATTAATACTGATTAAATTAATAGTGATTGCAACTGATTGACCATCTTGAAATTGAGCATCCTTAATATTTAATTCTTCCTTTACAAATAATTGGCTAGTGTACATATATATTATTATACATGTATATATGAAGCTTTGGTGTTTAATCATGACACTACGGTATGCAAGTATGTGATATCACTGTCACAGTAAAAACCATGCACACTCACACACATAATTGTTATGCATAACTTACTAGCAGTAGTGTAACACTCATTTTATTCAAGATATAGTGCATCCTGGAGATGAATAATTAAAGCCTTTTTACTCTTCTCCACTTCAGATCCAGAATTAAGATAAAATCCAGTATTAAAACAAGATTAGCTTGTCTACACTTGTGGCCACGTGCCACTGAGCATGCATATAATGGCTCAAAACGGCAGATTTTTATTTTTTTACGAATGGCTATTAAAATACCAAATTTGCCAAATTTAATCCTCTCTAAAATTACCCGCTATACGGTATTTTAGTAGGTTGTAATTCTGGATGCAAAGTGGGCAAGTGTGAAAAGGCCTTTAGTGAATAGGTGGCTATTGTTTGAGTGGCCATGCAAAAGGAATATAATGAGATCTTGTTTGCGTATCATAATTCATTGTTTGGGAGCATTCCCACAACTTGTACAGGCACAAACTGATAATGAGGAGTGTCAATGGACATTGTTGTTACATCACATGTTCCTTGAGATGGGACCCATTGACAGAAAATGTTGAGCTCATTCCCAACTATGTGGTAGGCATAAAGTGTGATTTTTTTGTAAAACAGGGTTCTGCCTAGAAAAAAAATTAGAAGTGGTTGGAGGCTAATGTTGTTCCTTTTAATTTATGTACACCATACTAGTAGACTACAATATCATGCTTTATGTATGGTTATTAGTATTAATTGGATGGTTGGTCTAAGTGATGAACTGGTGGGTTCATTTGTTGAGGTGGTTGTCCTGACCACTCCTGACCACCATAGGCAGAACTATGATAAAGTGTGATTTTTCATAGGATTAGTGAACATTTCAAATTGGATAAAGACGGGTACTAATAATTCATCATCATCATCATCTTCATCATCATCATCAGAGGCTCGTACTGTTGTTGATGATAGACCCAGTAATAATGATGAACTTATAAAGCTACAGAAAGATGTCAACATGCTAAAGGTAGTTAAATCATTTACATGTACATATACATACATGTACATGTATGCTTATAATATTTGATCTCTAATCTCTACATAAATATTGTATTAATACATGTATGTTGTTTGGGCATATAATAATGAAGCAAGTTATTTTTCTCATGTTACATGGATTTTTTGGGATCATAATATACATTGCACATGTATATTGCATAGAAAAAATTTTTGAAGGGACATTACAGTCCCATTCCTTTGTTACTTTGTTTAGAATCTTTTACACATAAAGTTACTTACAATACTTATTTGATCTCCGATCTCTGCATAAATTTAAGTTATATATATTGTCTTGTAGATGTTTCAATCATAATCATAGCTTGTACTAGTAATTCAAACATTATCTCGTTTTGTTAATTTTTCTGATAATAGAATAAATTATCATCAGTTGAGAAAGAAAACTATGAGCTGAGGAAGGAGCTATCCAAACACACAGGTGTGAGTCCTAATGCTGTGCAGCCTGGACAGGTAAGGATTCTATTGTTATAGTCAAACCAATCTCCAGTTGATTGTGTCCTCAAGTATAGATACCTTGTATCATTGCACACTTTACAGATACATACATTAATACACATATTATTATTATTATTATTATTCTTTGTAATAATACATGTACATGTACTGTTTGCGTAACTTCAGAGAATATTATTTTATCGCTAATTAGTGCCAGGCTCTAATAATAGTTTTTGTCTAATTTTGATTTTTTGTAGAAGACACTGATTGAAATGTATTCTGAGATACTCACTCTCTTGACCGAGTTTGATGCAAAGTCGCCATTAACTGACAGGAAACTAGTTCACAGTCTACCACAAGTAAATATTGCAGACATAAAAACACACTTTTAGCCAGAGACAATATGTTCACGGTACATCTACACATACAGTGAAACCTGCTATTGTGGACACTCTAAAATAAGTATAATGAGGACAGGTAGTATCAGTCCCAATACAATAGTAATGTGTATTAATGAACCTCTGAAATAAGGACAGGTTCATAATCAGGAGGGTATTATTGGGTACCAAGGTGTCCGGAATAGACAGGCCTGACTGTATAGGACATAGTACACGGTACATAGTACATGTACATATATGTGTGTATATAATAGGGTATAATTAATGATTGAATGATTGTGTATGTTGTGGCTGTTACATAATGTCATTATAAATGTACACATGGGCTTGTGTATTTATCATATTTTATTGAAATATTAGTGGACTTATCCATCTGTGCATGTTTATGTAAGGCGAATGTAGCTGTATGTATGTGCATGTGTTTATACATGTACATGTACATGTACATGTAGCTCCATTATGTATCTCAGAAGTGCATGCTCCTCTTAGCAGGATTCCAACTCAGCCTAGGCATTTCTAATTAAAGGGTTGTAGTAAAAGGGTTAAATAGGCTTAAATAGCATTGTTTCTGCTTCCGGTCTAATTTTTAACCTAGGCAATCACCCCCAATGCCTAGGCCTGCAGCTGCCTATGTCCTCTTACCATCATCCCTGTCATTCCTTCTGCTCTCATGAGCAAGCTCTCTCAGATGGGAGGTTTACTAAACTACATGTACATGTACATGTATGTACACAAATACTGTATACTATACATGTATGTTCTATTACGTCAATTTTTAACTCAGTCACACATACATGTATATGTACATGTACATCTATACTGTATATGTGTTTTTTATTATAAAAAGTATTTGAACGTGTACATGTACAGTGTATGTACATTTGAAGGTGTACATGTACATGTGTCCATGCATTATTTGTTGTTGTTGTTGTTGTTGTTTATTAGGTGGTTGTAGTTGGTGATCAAAGTGCTGGGAAGACAAGCGTCTTGGAAATGGTAGCCAATGCAAGGATATTTCCCAGGTCAGCTAACAATAAATTATATTAATGAGTATTATTAATGAATATTAATGAGTACTAACTTGTAATTCTTTTATAGGGGAGCTGGAGAGATGATGACTCGATCACCTGTTATGGTATAACAATAATCACTTACATAATAATCTGGCCTTTTACATGTACACACGTGTGTGTGTGTCTCTCTCTCTGTCTCTCTCTCTTTCTCTCTCACTCTCTCTCTCTCTCTCTCTAATTTTATTTTTCATGTCTTAAGTCTTAGGGATTCCCCTTTCCCTTTTAACTCTGTACTCTTGTTTATTAAATGATGATAATAATAATAATGATGATAGTAAACAGTAGCTGGTAATCTAATATACCTTTATCTCTCATTATCTATTCTATGTCTTCTTGTTTTCTGAACTCAGTCATGCTACACTATATGTACATGTACAAATGTACATATACAGTATAACCGTGTATTAATGAACCTCTAAAATAGGGAGGCCTCTATAATGAGGACAGGTAGTATCAGTCCCAATACAATAGTAATGTGTATTAATGAACGTCTAAAATAAGGACAGGCTCATAATCAGGAGGGTATTATTGGGTACCAAGGTGTCCGGAATAGACAGGCCTGACTGTATTCCTAACTATCACATAAGACACTCATATCTTTAAATGCACAGTAAATTATATACTCCTAAATTCAAGTGTACATGTACATGTAACTAAATAATATACAGTTAGGTCTGTCTATTCCGGACACCTTGGTACCCAATAATACCCTCCTGATTATGAACCTGTCCTTATTTCAGAGGTTCATTAATACACATTACTATTGTATTGGGACTGATACTACCTGTCCTCAATATTATAGAGGCCTCCTTATTTTAGAGTGTCCACAATAGCAGGCTATACTTTATCACTCATCATAAATCTCTACATGTACATTATCCACTCATTACTGTAATATCACATGTACATATGTTAATGTGCTCTTTTATCATAATAAATACACAGTACCTGATACAGTATGCTCTATATATTCACTGTATCTCTCACTAGGTGACTCTAAGTGAAGGGAGTGACCATGTGGCCATGTTTAGCGACAGCTCGACTGTTTATGACCTCAAGAAGGAGGCACAGGTACATAATCCTCAGAGTAACAGTAGTAAATATGGAGGAGGTGTACTGCCTATAATTACATGTATTATGTAACATAATGTACACATACACTTGATTGTACATACATGTACATATACTTGTATTGTATATGCATGTACTTGATTTGTGTTTATTATCATTAATGATTAATGTGTGTATAGTTGAAGGCACTCCGCCATGAAATTGAGAAAAGAATGAGAGCCAGTGTGTCCGATGGTCAGACTGTGAGCTCGGTCCCGATATCACTGGTGGTCAAAGGGCCGCAGATAAAGAGAATGGTACTCATTGATTTACCAGGGATCATTAATGTAAGCTCGTTTATATGTGACATTATGAATACACTACAGTCACCATATTCACATGCATAATATACATAAATAAATTTGGGAGATTTATATGTATATAAATAAAAATGGGAAACCTGGAAACTTAAGCTAAATGCATGTACATGTACATGAGATACTGAAAGCTAAAAGAATGGGAGATTTCAGGAGACCTAGACCAAATATGGGAGACCAAAAATCCCCCTTTAGATTTAAGAGTACATGTGTATGTATATACTTATGCATGTACATGTACATGTATTTAGTATTGCTTAATTTACTGTTGGTGCATCATCAGTAAACTAAAAATGGGAGACTATATACTTACATGTAAGCTAAATGTGAAAGAATAAAAGCTGGAAAATGGAGGGTTTTAGGAGACCTAGACCAAATATGGGGGTCCAAAAAGTCTCCTAAACTCCCTCTAAATCTAACATATGTACATGTATACATGTACATGTATTTAGTATTGCTTTGCTGTTACTGCATATCAGGGGCTGCTGCTTAGTGGCAGGTGCATGGACATAAGCAGACAATGGAAGGCACACAGTTGGTTTGTGTGACCTCAACGTGACCTTCATTTCAAGGAATTCCCAATCATTAGATTAAGGCATTTTAAGCAAACCAAGCCTTGTAATAATTGATATCTTATACCAGCCTAATCTGTAGTTTATCTATAACCTAGCTATCAGCTAGTGTAATAGAGCCCTTGTCATAACTCTTATACTGTATTGTATGTGTAGACTGTTACTACAGGCATGGCTGCCAATACTAGGGAAGATATCATGAAAATGTGTCGGTTAGTGATACAATGTACATATGTCATGTTTATGATATTTTAATAATACACACACACACACACACACATACATTCATTGATTCATACAGTCAGTATATGCAGAATCCTAATGCCATAGTCATGTGTGTACAAGGTAATGTCCATTAGCTGTTAATGATTGATGAGGATTGTTGTTGGTATATTTATTTAAGATGGATCAGTTGATGCTGAGAGAAGTATTGTCACTGATTTGGCTAGTCAAGTGGATCCTAATGGTATGTTTGTTGCTTTATTTTTTATCAAGATTATTCTCCCTCCCTCTCTCTCCTCTCCCCCCTCTCTCTCTCCCTCTTTCTCTCTCTCTCTCTCTCTCTCCCTCTCCCTCTTTCTTTCTCTCTCCCTCTCCCTTTCTCTCTCCCCCTCTCTCTCTCCCTCTCTCCCCCCCTCTCTCTCTCTCCCTCCCCCCTCTCTCTCTCTCCTCAGGTCACAGAACTATATTTGTATTGACTAAGGTTGACATGGCAGAGAGCAATGGATTAAAGCAAGAGAGAGTAAGTTATGCCTCCTCCACTCCCCCCACACTATATTCTCTTTATCCATGGATGACACCTGGCTCTTTGCTGCTGTCTTTTTCCCCTCCTCCTCTCTCTCCCTCTCATACTCTCTCCTAATCAAATCCACCTACATGTGTACATGTACATTTCTGCTCTTGCTCTATTAGCTACAATGTACATGTATGTGCTATATATGCATGGTCTTAATCTGCCCATCATTGACTGTTAATATACATGTACATGTACATATATACACATACAGTATAGCCTGCTATTGTGGACACTCTAAAATAAGGAGGCCTCTATAATGAGGACAGGTAGTATCAGTCCCAATACAATAGTAATGTGTATTAATGAACCTCTGAAATAAGGACAGGTTCGTAATCAGGAGGGTATTATTGGGTACCAAGGTGTCCGGAATAGACAGGTTTGACTGTGTACACATTATTCCATTCACTCTTCACTCACTCAGTAATCTTCCTTCTCTTTTAGATATTATCAATACTGGATGGCTCATTATTCCCAATGAAAGCTCTAGGATATTATGCTGTGGTAACAGGAAGAGGTCAGTGTTGATAATTGTGTCAACAATTAGTCCGCTGTGCCAGTGAGAGTTTATACAATAACAATGTATTTGATGTATTATCATGTCAGCCTAAATCTGTTGTTGTTTTAAATCAGATTCCAATCATTCTAACGAGTAGAAATAATTTATTATTATAAATACTGGGATTAAAATAATAAATAATTATAATTAAAATAATAAATAATTATCATTAACATAACTCTCAGGTAATACCGGTGACTCCATTGAACAGATACAGCGTTATGAAAGGGAGTATTTCGCTAAATCCAAATTATTCCAGTGAGCCACTGTATTACATGTTTTATGTGTGAGTTCATATGCTGTATGGTTGGGGGTTTTTGCTTGTCCAATATATTTTACAGTTGCATCAAATTTTCCTTTAAAAAATTATATTCATGGGTTCGGAAATTTATGACTGCATGGTAGCTGTATGTATGAGCTAGTGTACTGTCATTTTTAAATTTTTTTCAAAAAATTATAACTACATGTACATGTATGTGTTTGTAAATTTATGGCTATAGTACCTTGTGGTAGACATGCAATATTCATTGCAGTAATAAGAAAACACAACTTTCACTGACTAGTTGACATCAAAGAGATTCTAACTCTTAGAAAAGCAATAATGTCACTGTAGTTGATGTCATATTCATTTAGCATGCCTGGTTGGAACAGGTTTAAATTTTTGGATGTTGTTACTAAACCCCAAAATTATTGCTAATTAATGCCCCATGACAATCACCAACTGCTCAGTGTGTGTATGTACATGCATAGGACATAGTTTAGTATCTAATTGATTGTTACTATAGGAATGGCATGCTAAGGGAAGCACAGCTAAGTACACGAAATATGATATCTGCTGTCAATGATGAGTTTTGGAAGATGGTGCAGGAGTCGATTAACGATCAGGCTTTGTTGTTTAAAAGTTAGATTTAACATTCTCTCTCCTTCTCTCTCTCTCTCTCTCTCTCTCTCTCTCTCTCTCTCCCTCTCCTCCTCCCTCTCCTCCTCCCTCTCCCTCTCTCTTTCTCAACCTTAATCTACTCCAAAATTTCATTTCTCTCTCTCATTGTTTTCGCCATCCATAACTTTTATTTCTTCTCTTTATACATTGTACATGTACATGTAGCTCTTAGGTATAATTTAGAAGCAGAATGGAGGAACAAATTTCCAGGAGAGAGGACTTTGGACAGGGTATGTACATGTACGCGTACATATCTGTTCTTTATACACATGTACCTGTACATATATATGCTAGTAAATTACATGTATAACCATAGATGTACATGTAATTCTTCTTCAATAGGATGATCTATTTGAAATGAGTAAAGCTGATATACTGACTCAGGCAGCCAGTCTACAGGTCCTCCCTCCTACCAAATGGTATAATCATTATATGTAGTCTGGGACAATGTACATGCATACATGTATATTGGGTACAACAATTTTAATAATTTATGTAGAAAAATATAAAAAATTCCAAATAAAAATACTTGATGTGTGAGTAGAAGTATTAGTAATTCTGCATAAATTTACTATGCCTCATTTTGATGTGCATCATCCAAAATTAATCAGATTTATGATGCATTGTAGTGTATTAGTGCCCTAAGGCTAGGTGGTTTTTTGTTTTGTGACCTTGTTACCACTACATGTTGTGGAAGGGATTCTTCTGTGTACATCTAAACCATTGCCCAACCATGTTTCATGTACATGTGTCAACTACTTCTGGGTCTTCGTGTTTTTGTAGGGAAGACATTTTAATGAATTCTCTGTGGGATCAAATTGGTCCTAAAGTCCTTGATGAGATATTTGTACGTGCTGCTCAGAGCCGATCATCAGAGTAAGAATACATGTACATGTACTGACTATTATACTGTACATGTACTGACTATTATACTGTATGTAATGTATATAATTATCATTATTATTATGAAATTATTTAATATCATTCATAGTAATGATGTTATAGTAATAATAGCAATCTACTGTACATGTACATGTGTGCACACTTTAGATTAGAGGAATCTTTGGAGGCTTTAGGTTTTCCATATTTGGTCCAGGTCTACTGAAATCTCCCATTTTTAGCTTTTAGTCTCTCATATTTTAATTAATTCTTAGTCCTTAATTCTCCCATTATTAGTTAGATTGGTCTCCTAAAATTAGTTTCTACAATGTCTTTGTACATGTACTTTGCAAATGTAGGTTTTAAAATCAATTTCATTTCTCCTCCAATCAATACCACATAGCGAGAAATTTTGAAGGGAATTAAATTTGGCGAATTTGGTGTTTTGATAGCTAGCCATTTGCCCAAGTAAAATCCACCATTCTGAGCCATTATACAAATGCTCAATAGCAAGTGGCCACAAATTTGCCAATCACCAAATTTTATAGTAATTCGCTCCCTCCAAAATATCCCACTATACTGTAGTTTACCACTCATTTCTTTTTGTTGTTTTTGTTTTTTATAGTGAGTTCAACACTGTTGTTGACATTGAGCTGCATAAATGGGCAGACAGTCTACAACTGGCCAGCCTCTGTGCCAATGTTGGCATGACAACTCTCTTTGAACAGCTGCACAACAAACTAGCTGACCTCAAGGTATAACAATAACAATTGCAATCTATTATTATTATTATTATTATTATTATTATTATTACTGTATAGCGCAAAATTTTTGAGGGCTATAAATTTCACAAATTTGCCTAAAAATCTGTTTTGTGGATTTAATTTTTGCTAATTTATGCCTTTATCATATTGTACTGTGAAAATTTGATTTCATGGAATTAATTTTTGCAAATCTTCAAAGAATCGGGAAATCTGCGAAATTTACAGCCTTCGAAAATTTTGCTCTATATTGTATTGTTATAATTATCATTAATTGTTGTCATTATTATTGTTTGTTAAGGGAGGGAAATTCATGACTCTTAGTCAAGGGCTAAGAGAAGAAGTAGAGAGGCTAAGCAGAGAACTACATAAATGGGAGAGCTACAATATTGATCAGCTGGTAAGCATATACTCATCAATAATTAGTAATAATAGTACAAGTATTACATTCATGTCACTAATTGTTTAGTAATTATTTGTAAGTACATGTACATGCATGTAATTTTTTCCTTATTGCTAGCAAATTTGATTTTAATTGGTTCATTGGTAGTCATTTGTAGATGTTTTGTACTGTGAGTACAAGCAAACAAGTTAATGTCACAACTGACTACCGTACGCATCTTAATTTTTGAGGTGTATTAAATTTCGTTATTTTTGTGCTCACCTTAAATCTACGAAATTTAAACCACCTCTAATGCCATTCTATTGTATGTAAACTATGGCCAGAATACGAAAATTAGCTCACACAAATATTAACTTTTGAGCACATTTCATTGAAAACACAAAATTTTGAACACTTGAAAATTTGAATGTATACGGTAGTGTTGTTCAATGTACATATAGTTGCTATTAGTCTTTTTAAAAATAATCAAAAAATTAAAGAATAATTTTACAATCAGAAACTTAGTAGTCATTTTCAGAAAAACTATGTACTTGTACTGAGTATTTGGCCAAAATTATTTTGAAATGAGAATCAGAATTGTCTAAAACTCCTGCAATGATACAAACATGTAACATGTAATTTTCTTTTGTTTTAGAAATACGTTCAAATGTCTGCTCTTGATGATAAAGACGTAACAGCAGAGGACCAGTGGCAGTCGTCAGTTGAATTCATGAAGAGTACACTGAGTAAACAGGTTGGACTAGTTATGCTGTACATGTACATGTAAATGCTTAATGTAATGGTATTAATTAATAGTGTATGATAATCAAACCATCTGTACATATACATATACACCTACATGTACATGTACATGTGCATGTACATTTACTAGTACACATACATGTAGATAATTTGTAGCTACATGTACAATTGTTATTGAATGTGTAATTGAAATTTATGTGTACTCACATGTACTTATGATACATGTACATGTATGGACAGTGTGTACCATGTAGATTGCAGCTTATGATACATGTACATGTACATGTACAGTATATATCATTTAATGTCAATATACCTGTACATATGTGTCCTTATTCATTAACTTACAAAAGAGCAAATTGTTTATTATTATTATTTACATGTAGGTAAAGCAAGCCAGCAGTGATCTGTCTGCTTTAAAGGGACCATCGTCATTTTCTCAGCGTTGGCTGGGCTGGAGCAGCCAAACAAAGCAACAGGTAGAGTAAAGTAGCACTGTGTGAGTGATTTCTAAGTATGAGTGGGTTTTCTTGAATTTTTATGATTTGTAAAGATATAGAGTGAATTCTGTAAAATTAGTAAAATTAAAATATGTGAATTAGAAATTTAGCAGGTTTTGAAACTACATACATTGCTTCATTTAAAAAATCACTCATATGGTATACTGTTTATGTGTTCCAAATAATGCCCCACACAGGTGGAGAGGCAGGCAATTTTAGAGGAATTGGATAAATTTCTAAAAGCAGAGCCGGTGAGTCATCGAAAGATTATTGTCTATCTGGAAATTTTTGATACAAATTTAATTTGCTTGATTAGAAATTTGCAAAAATTTGATCACACATGTAATTATATACTACATTCATTAACACATGACACAGTCTTATGATGTAAAAATAAAACATAGCACAGTTTTCTGAAAGCATAAATTTTCAGATACATGATGACTTTTAAAAAAATTACATGTGTATGAATTATAGTAATTAATAATTATTAATGATTGTTTTTGCCTTAGAATCATCCAAACAAACTCTTTGTTGATGAAGTCCTAACAGTTCAAAGGTCACTGAAGAACAAAGGACTGATTGTTCCTGAGAAAGAAGTACAAGTGTTTATCTATTGGTTACATCATTACTCCAGTGTTGTTGTACTCTTGTAGATTCAATTAGCATGGAGTCACGCATACAGGCTACACTTCTTGCAACAAACACAACAGAAAGCTCACAATTGTCAGAAAGGATTTCTGTTAAGACAGCATAGCCCACAAGTGAGATACATGATTTATTTCAAAAAATGGCTCTGAAATCACTCCAAATTTTTAGTACATTTTCTAATACGTATTGATGTCCTTATGCTGTGTAGAAAGTTTGAGGTGATTCCGACAAATATTTTTCGAGTTATGAGCATTTTTAAAATTGAGCCATTTTCTGAAAATTACCCAAGGCTATATAGCCCATGGTTTTTTTCAAAAAGTGGCCCTGAAATCACTTCAAAATTTTATTACATTTTCTAATACATATTGATGTACTTATGCTGTATAGCAAGTTTGAGGTAATTCCGACAAATATTTTTCGAGTTATTAGCATTTTTTAAATTGAGCCATTTTTTGAAAAATACCCAAGGCTATAGCCCATGGTTTTTTTCAAAAAATGGCTGCAAAATCACCCTGATTTTTTATTATATTTTCTAATACGTATTGATGTCCTTATGCTGTGTAGAAAGTTTGAGGTGATTCCGACAAATATTTTTTGAGTTATTAGCATTTTTTAAATTGAGCCATTTTTTGAAAAATACCCAAGGCTATAGCCCATGGTTTTTTTCAAAAAATGGTTCCAAAATCACCCCAAATTTTTATTACATTTTCTAATACGTATTGATGTCCTTATGTTGTGTAGAAAGTTTAAGGTGATTCCGACAAATATTTTTCAAGTTACGACCATTTTAAAAAACGACGAAATTCTGAACAATTTAATTTCTTTTGTGTATTTTAGTTTGCTTGCCCTGAAGTGACATTCTTTTGGCGAGTGCAGCAAGTAATGCAGAGTTCCGCCCGCACACTCAGAGTACAAATATTAGACAGGGAAGGTAAGGCTCTTGAGAACTACCTCTATGCCATATAGCTGGAAAAGTTTGCGGGAATTATATTTTGTGATTTTGTACCAATTCAGAACATTTTAATGTATGCAGAATTTAATTTTGCTGTTGTAGGCGTGAACTGTTGGTACACCTATTACCTATAATGCTTTGCAGAATTAGATTGTGCGTTTTTATGATGAACAGCAAACAGCAAATTAAATTCCAGCAGATATTTCCAGCTATATGGTACTAGGCTCATGTATGACATACTCTATATTATAGTGAGACAGCTGGAGCAACAGCTAAAGATTATTTTGGATAACATTGGTAATGATGAGAAAAGAAAGAGAGATCTTATTCGAGGCAATGCCGTAGACAAAGCCGAACAACTTAGTAAGTGTGATGTGTTTTATGATTGCTAGAGTAATGTATAGCACTTTATTTTGGTGGTGTTTTATTTTGGTGATATTGCTGTAAAATTTGAATTGGTTGATTTGGCAATTTTGTGTACAAATGCATGACTGAGCATGTACATCTAAAATTGGCAATTCTGTTTGCAAACCGCTAATCGCCAAAATAAAACTTAAATAATAAAAAATGAAAAAAACAAAATAAAACTTTGCCAAATTAAAGGGCTATACAGTATTGCTTTATATGCCCATTGTGTTTTTGTATAGAGCAAGTCCGTTTGATACAAGAAAAGTTGGACTCATTTCGACAGTCACTCCTGAAGCAGCAGAAAAGACAAACAAACTAGTTTCAAATTTCATTTCTTTGTCTTAAATTGGCATGAAAACAAAATTATTACCCATTTTGGTATAATATGATGTGTATGGTTTTAATTTGCAATAACACTAGGGTAGTTGCAGTTTCTTGTTTTGCAAATACACATATACTGTAAACACTATCCATTAATTTTAACTATTTTAACCATTGGCCTAATTTTGTCTAAGTTAATGGATGGAAATATACCATCTATCTGGAAATTTTTACTGTGATTTAAATTTTACTGAATTAGAATTTCGCAAAAATTAGATCACCCATATAATTGTATGCCACATTCAATAATACACGACACAGTCTTATTTAGTAAAAATTAAATCACAGCACAATTTTAAAACACAAAAATTTTGTACCACACTAATTTCCTGATCTACGGTAATTGTCAATGTACAATATACCCACCATTGCAAAAACGTTCAACATAAATTTCATTAAATTTCTAGGGTCTACAGTACAGGTAACTATTATCAATAGATGTATATCATGTGCTGTTTATGAGTGTATTTCTATACCTGCTCCATCTGGAGCTTCCTGCTTTGTTATTATGCAAACTGTCAGCCTTTATGCAACTATGTCTCACTTGTTTGTAATTCGTAGCTGCGTTTTTATAAAGTTATGCAGCTATTATCAATAGATGTATATATGTGTGAATATATCACTGTTTGTGATCCGGAGCTGCTTTGTTATAAAGTTATGCAAACATTCTCAACCTTTTATAACTTGAAATGTAAACCTAACCATCTTCAGTTGAGTCAAGACACAAACAGGGAAAATGAGGCTGATTGTGTTTGTAGTACTGGCTCTTGTTCTTTTCTCTTCTACCAGTGATGCTGGAGCTGCTGCTAAGAAGGACTACAGGAAGATCGGTGATTGCAGTAAAGTAAGAGCTTCATGCAGCCATCGGGATTTTATGTGTATCATTATTTCTTTATTAGAAAGCTAGTATGACTTGCACATACAAGTACAGTGTTGATGGAGAAGTGAAGGGAGGAGAAGATACTCATATTACTGCAAATGTTGACATATTCTGTGAATCAGGTCAATTAATACCTATACTGTAACATGATTGTATAGAGTACATACTAACAATGATTTTGAATGCAGTAATGTCATAATTGCATGAATTTTATATGTACTTGACAATTAATAATTTATTGTTATTATAGTTGGTGTTTTTAAGAATGAGTCAGCCGTTCGTTATTGTATCAATGTCAGAGATGCTGTGGGTCGAATATCTAATAAGGAGAATAATTATAATTCAGAGTAAGATATGCTATTCTTTGATGGTTTGATTTTAACACCTGACCTAATTTTCTTCCTATATTCTTGTAGTACTGAGGCTCCGATTAAACACTTGGATAAATTTTTCTGTTTTGCCCAGAGCACATCCAGTGGTAAAGTATTAGGTGTGTTTCATCCTAAGAGTGAAAAGGAATGGGCTGTCAATATCAAGAGGAGCATTGCTAGTGCTTTTCAAGCCAACTACAAAGAAACAGCTGTTGCTAATGAAACTGACTCACAATCAAAACACAAATCACATTACAAGTAAAAGATAGTATTATTTTTATAAAAAGGTGCACTTTTTGTGTGTTTTGTTGTTGTGTAGGTATTTTTCTGAGGGCAGTAAACAGATTCAAGAAAGAAGGATTGACTCTCGTGATGTGTCTGTTTATGCTGGAAAAGCTTCCATTGAAGATAGAAAGGGAACTCTCTACTTTCATGAGCACGATAAGCTTGAGATAGACAGTGACAGAAGAATACAATTTTCCGAAGGGAAATCAGTCCTTGAGCTTGGAGCAGAGGAAGAGGATAAAGCTACTGCATCAGATACCAATGATAAAGCAGTGCCTCCTCTGGGAGCTATCAGTGATTACAAGCTCAAGCTGTCTCGCTGCTATAAACCACCAAGGAAAGATCTTGTAGAAGAGCTCACTGCTGTAATGGCCAGTCATGAGTGTGCAATTGGGGATATTCTGGCTACTATTAATGAAGGTATTATTGTTTTGATTGTTGCATAGTGCACATACAGGCAATCACAACAATAACACAGTTAACAAAACAATTTATGCATTTGTACAATCCAGTGTATACCTTTCAAATTGCTTTGTTTCAAATGCATATTTTTAAATTTCTAGTTGAAGGTGACGTAGAAGCAATGCAAGAGTTAACTGATGAGCTACCATCATCAGAAAAATATAAAAATATAAGAATATAAATATATAAATATAAAATAAATATGAAACTGTACTATCATTGATAATACATTTGGGAATATTTTGTCTGCTATCAATGAAGGTACTGTATAGTACCAGTATATTGTTTTGATTTTTTTGATTTGATGCACTGATGATTGAAGCAATAACACTTAAGCAAAAGCACATTGTTGTTTACCACATAACATTGTATTTTATTTTAGTGTTGTTCTAGTTCTTGTTTTTTAAATTAGTTCTAGTTTTAGTTTCGTACTAAACCCGTAACTAATATTTGTTCTAGTTCTAGTTCAAATACTAAACCCATGCATAACTAGTACTAGTTCTAGTTCTAGTACTAAACCCATACTGAAATAGTTCTAGTTCTAGTTCCAGGACTAAACCTGTAACTAGTATTAGTTCTAGTTCTAGTTCCAAGAACTAGAACTAGCTGAAAAAAGCCAGAACTACATCAGATTTAGTTCTAGCTCCAAAAAACTAGAACAACACTATTTTATTTGTAGTTGAAGCTGATGCAGAAGCAATGGAAGAGTTGAGCGATGAATTGCCATCTTTTGATGAGACAGTCAAACAAATACAAAAAGATACTGAATCAGAAGAAGCAAGTATGCAACAAATATATACAATTAATTTTTGTGGTAATTTATGCTGGCACTCTTTCTTTTATGCTGAGTAGTACAGTTAGTTGATAAATGGAGGAAATTATTAAAACTTGAGTCTAAGAATGGAGCATTATCTGGTACTAAAGCAAAACTACCACAATTACTGCAAAGACTCAATGAGGTACATGTACATGCCAATACATACATAGTTATAGCAGTTTGATTACTTGTATTATGATGGTATTATGATTGAATATGACTTTGATATACATGTAGATAGAAACAGATGAAGAATCAAGTGATGAGAGGGTATTGATATATCATCTGTTAAGCTCTGTAGGCAACCTGGAATCACAAAAGGTATTTAATGATTACTGATGCACAACTTTAGAGTATTTTAATAATAGGCACTATTAGATATGTTAAAGGTTCATTCAAGCTCATCTCTAGAAGTGACTAGCTTACTGGTTGAGATTGCTTTGATGCCTTCTGTTCATTCCAGTACTGTAGATTCTCTAATCAGTCAATATGAGTCTTTAGAATCAGACGATTACGTTGCTAATCAGCTCATACTTTCTTTGGGTACACTCGGTCGTCATGCTAATGTAGAAGATAAGATTGTTAAATATTTGTCTGTGAAACTAACATCAGCAATGACTCCAGAAGACACGTCAGTTCTTATTCATGCTCTTGGTAACACAGCTTCTAAGAAAATAATACCAATTCTTGAACCTTTTATTTCTGATGATACTTATCAATCCTACACCATCGATGCTTTGAGGGGAGTCTCAATGGATGGTGCAGTACAGAAAGAGTTTACCACACTTGTCACTGAGTCCCTGCATCCTCAAGTAGTTCTAGAAGTGGTTGAGAGTTTAACATTTCCATTCAAAAACTCACTTTATTCATTTAAAATTAAAAAAGATTATGATGCTTCTCAAGACCTCAAATCGGCACTAATCAGAGCTGCTATCAAATACAAGGAAGATGAACTGATGAATTCTCTCAAGGAATACTTCACAGCCATTAATGATAGGACCTCAAATGAAATCCTCCAAGAAGGATTAGAATCAAAGAACATTCCTGTTGGCCGTCAAAAAAGAGGATCTACTTCACTCTGGTCTTCAAGTAGCAATCACAACTA